TGTCGTGTTTAACACTTTTCATATCAGCCCTGATTTTTGATTATATAAACGATAGTCGTATTGTTCTATTTTCCAGTACAGCAACTTATTATACCTTTAACCTGTACTTCATGAATTCACATTAAAAATTCTTTTTCCATTTATTTTGTATAAATGAAATAATGGTTATAAAATTTCGCACTTGGTTATCGACATATATAAACCTGCAGGTATTATAAAAGAAAGGAAAGTTTGTTTTGTTAATTTGAAAGGGGGTAAAAAGGTTATCCAACACATTGGAAAATATTTGATATAAGGGAATATAAAAACATTGTTGAGCTTGCTTCGTTCCCTATTTTTAGTCTCTTCCTAAATATATATTACATGTATTACATGAATTATTCATCGTAAACCACTTTGTTTGCCTTTAATTTACGATTAGATTTTCGACAGAATATCCAAACAAAAGTTTTATAATGCCCGGATATATAAGGTGTTGTTTCATTCTCCGAAGAACTTTTAAACCTTCTCGTCAATTAATATATAAAACTCAATATAATTAAGAACGTTAACACATATGGTCATTTTTGATTTAAGGGTTCAGGTCGAAGTTAACTTAGTACAGGACTGGTTGCGAAGTTAACTTCAGTACACGGGTGTCATTCGGTATATCGAGAAAAAAGATCGTGAAAAAATACCTAACGGTGGTCAAGTATTGCGATTGGATCGTGAAAGCTCTGGTATAGGATCGTGAAGGAAATCTTATCGAGAAGACATATTCAAGGTCAATTACAAATCTAATTTAATGAATATTACGGACAAATTTACAAAAAAATAAAACTGCCTGTCAAAATTGTTCAACATTTTAATCAGTATCTGAGAAAATCAAGATTAAAAAATTAACCGTTTTTTCAAAACTACAAAAGGCAGATTGCTCCTCGACATTTAAATGACATTAAATATGTAAACAAACAAGATTTTTTTGTTCATAATTCGAATGACTAAACAACTTTTCTTTGAAACATGTCATTCCATTTCGATGATTCAAATGGTTCTTATAGTTATTTTGTGTTAGCATGATCAGAAATTTTGCAAAAAATGAAATATCTACAGAAAAATGATTTTTTGGATCGTGAAAGATCGCGTACCGCTTTTTGAAGATCGTGCAAGATCTGATTCAACGAAAACGTTCAAATAATTATCTAATTAAATGATAATTTATATTTTTAATTGGTAGAGCAAATATTGGATTTGCATACTTCATTCCGGTTCTCTTTTGTTGGTGAATAGGGCTATAATCGTTCAATGCCTTTGGATCTGATTATCTTATAATACCACACCGACTAGGTGCTTTATAGCAATATAAGTATTTTGTCCATCCTTCATAAGTTTTGATTTCTTATACAAATTAAGATTGATAATAGAACCTAATCGGCTAAATTATATTTCAAGCTGGGCATCATGCACAATTGATCGCGAGGTACTTTGATTGGTAATTACCCCACTAAGTTGGCACAATGACGTATAGCTATTGTGAACAGACTGATCAAACAATCAAGTAAAAATAACGTTATGTTGGTAACTTTTAAGTTTATGTCAGCGCAGCCACTAAATAAACAATAAACTAGCCAATATTGTCATAATATGTACACACGAACGACACTCCATATAACTGAAGGTAACAACCCTTACACAAAAAAAAACCCAATATGCGTACACTTGCAGGGCGGATGCATTAAGCATTATAGATACATATATACTTTTACTTTTCGAAAATCTACGTTCCTGAAGGTCCTTTTATCTTGGAAGTCTACTTATTTCGACACTTTTTAACTTATTTTAATAACTTTTAAGGAAAAGTGTTGAATTAAAAAAAAGTGAAAAAAAAAGAAAAACATTAATGTTCGTTCTTCTAAAATAATTATACGCTTCAACTAGTTGCGAGTTTATCAATTGGTAAAAGAAATATTGTGTTCTGATTAATAAGTCTGGTCCGGCGCGGGACGTTTTCGCTTTTTGATAGGAAATTTGCGCTTTTTTAATGGACATTTGCTCTTAAATTTTTAGGACATTTGCGCTTTTTAAAAAAGGACATTTGCGTTTTTTAAGAGGACATTTGCGCTTTATCAACATAACATAAAAAATCGTTTGATATATAAAGAAAAATACACAAAATATTCATATATCTATATACAGCTAAAAGCATCAACCTTTCCTCATCATGCTTGTGTCAGATGAAAACGACAACAATCCAAGAGGGTGGATGGGTGTAAATTCCTTATAACAACCATGAGTCTTTCTAAAAGTCAACAGGTACATGAGGTACCGTGGTTTAAAAAATAAAATTTCGGTCTTCACTAATTGAAACAACCTTAGATAAACTATGATGGTACAGTTCCTCTAACTATTCAGGCAACAGAAAAACCACAAGAGGAATATAGTTTCAAATTTTAATCAGCTAATAAGAAAGCTAATGGGGAATTTTAATAAAAATTTAAATGTTCCATCCATAAAAGTTTCCTTTTCTCTATCGTTTACCCAGAAACGTAAACTATATTTTTTATAATATGTCTGGTTTACCCGAATACATTTTTTCTGTTTTTTTTGTTTGTCCGGAAGAACTTTCAAAGATTATGTGAACATCTTTTCATGACTTTGGTAAATTTTCTAAATATAACAAGTAAACTATTATTGGTAAAAAGCGCAAATGTCCGGTCAATTTTGATCAAGTGAATCAAAGTTTAAAGCGCAAATGTCCTTTAGTGTTACAGGTAAAATAGCGAAAACGTCCTGCGTCCGTCTCGTCACGCCTTGTCTTTCACGATCAATATAATGCGTTGCCCGATCTATCACGATCAATTCTGATAAAAAAATCAACAAAACTCAATGTTTTCAAAAACAAAATGAACGGCTTCACAGAAAAAAAAACTTTTATTCTACTGTACTATCTGACACACCAAAGATTCAGTTTCAAATATATCATTATATATTGGAATGTGAACATTATAAGTTCAAAACGAGTTTTTATTTTAATGAATCTCATAGACTTGTGTTGCGCCTTTTGTGTTTTCTCATAAAGTACTGCATATTTTCTTTATCTTATTACACAGTATTATTGAAAAAGTTGAATCATTTTGACAGACATAATTTTTTTTCGGATTTGTTCCGCGTTTTTGAAAATACAGCAGATTTTTCGCAGATTTTGAAGTAGAGTTACAATCAATTACATTCACGATCCGATCGCAATGCTTGACCACCGCTAGGTATTCTTTCACGATCAGTTTTCTCAATATACCGAATGACAGCCGTGCAGTAGAGGACCTGTTAAAGTTAACTTTTTAGGCAGTAATAAAAACAGTCCTATGACCAAGTTTGGTTTTTTATGTTAACTTGATAAATGTTCCAGAGCCGGTCGAAGCAGTCCAAATAAATGGTTATGAAGTTAAATTGCTGTACTGGTTAAGACTGCACCCATCTGTATGTAAGGATTTGTTAAAAATATATGAATTAAATAAAAGCAATTGTTTACCTTCCATTTAGTAAGCATGTTGAGGGTTAAGTGCGAGATATGTATCTCTTTAAAATCTGCATTCGTTTCCTTTTCAATGAAACTTTCCATTAACACCTACGTAATACTTTGTAATTTGTAAAAATAAAACAAGGTTCATTCAAAATGGAATGAGTATATAAAGGTACTTTTAAATATAAAACAATGTGTGCAGACACATAGGGTCAAATTAAGGTGTGAAATGAAATATTTTTAAATTAGATTTTGATACTACAATGTATATTGATTGATTTATAACATGTGTACTAATAATATGAAGGCACCTAACAACTAGCACTATTGCCTATTTCGTCACGGTCAGTTCTTATTGGTGGAGGTAGCCGAAGTGTCCGGAGAGAACCACCGACCTTCGGCCTGAAAGCTGACAATCCTAGTCAATTAGGATTGGAGTCGAATGCACCTGCCACCTGAACTTACAACCTCAGTGGTGACTGACTAGAGAAATAGTAGTACTGCTTAGACTACCGATGCCACTCTTTGAGTCGAATGCACCTGCCACCTGAACTTACAACCTCAGTGGTGACTGACTAGAGAAATAGTAGAACCTCTTAGACTACCGATGCCACTCTTTGAGTCGAATGCACCTGCCACCTGAACTTACAACCTCAGTGGTGACTGACTAGAGAAACAGTAGAACCTCTTAGACTACCGATGCCACTCTTTGAGTCGAATGCACCTGCCACCTGAACTTACAACCTCAGTGGTGACTGACTAGAGAAATAGTAGTACTGCTTAGACTACCGATGCCACTCTTTGAGTCGAATGCACCTGCCACCTGAACTTACAACCTCAGTGGTGACTGACTAGAGAAATAGTAGAACCTCTTAGACTACCGATGCCACTCTTTGAGTCGAATGCACCTGCCACCTGAACTTACAACCTCAGTGGTGACTGACTAGAGAAACAGTAGAACCTCTTAGACTACCGATGCCACTCTTTGAGTCGAATGCACCTGCCACCTGAACTTACAACCTCAGTGGTGACTGACTAGAGAAACAGTAGTACTGCTTAGACTACCGATGCCACTCTTTGAGTCGAATGCACCTGCCACCTGAACTTACAACCTCAGTGGTGACTGACTAGAGAAACAGTAGTACTGCTTAGACTACCGATGCCACTCTTTGAGTCGAATGGACCTGCCACCTGAACTTACAACCTCAGTGGTGATTGACTAGAGAAACAGTAGAACCTCTTAGACTACCGATGCCACTCTTTGAGTCGAATGGACCTGCCACCTGAACTTACAACCTCAGTGGTGACTGACTAGAGAAACAGTAGTACCTCTTAGACTACCGATGCCACTCTTTGATACTATAAAAACGTGTCGTTATTTTTTTTTTAAATATAGTCATTATAACTGGTTGCTCTATGTTGGCATTTGCGATACACAGATAATTATTTTTCCCCTACATAACTGATGTCGAATCCCCTTTAACAGTTTTATTTCAAACTTATTGAAATGTTGTCAACGAAAATTAACGTAATTAAACACTTTTAACTCAAAACTGGCTTGTCAAAACTTTGTTTCGTTATGTGGTATTTTGCTCTTTATTTTGCAGCGCTACGAACGTAACTATATCATATACAAAAATGCTTCATATTCAATATTTTACATCTTTGTCCTTATGCATATTTATTCATTAATCTTCATAAATTTAAAATTGTCGTTTGTTAGACAAAACAATTGCATTAACATCATAATGTCGCGTTTTAGCTGAATGCACTGATGGCACTATCAACACATTAAAAAAGTCTTCATACGGCAAGTTGAGAACGTTCTATCCGGTTAATATTCAATATATTGTAAGAATAATTGTCTTGTGGATTATTTGTCGTCTAATAATTGTACAGCAATGCCTTAAATACTGTTATATGTTTATTAACCAAGTTTCATCACTTTGACTTTGTCGTCTGTAGCCATAAAAAAACACTCACATCATTATTTCGGTAGTTCAACTGAATGCACAGATGTCACATCCAACTCATTAACAAAAGACTTACAATGGCAGAATTGTATGATTGATCCGGGTTGAATTCAGCAAATTGTCTTGCGGATTCCTATTTGCCTAATAAATGTAGGGCAATTCCCAAAATTTTGTAAGCTTCTGCTTTTACACTGTGTTTTGCATTTAAATAATCTTTATTTATAACCAGTTGTAAGCATCGGAGGGAATCTTGACATTGTCTGACATTATTGAGGTGATAATGGCAGAGAAAATTAAGGAAATAAGCATACGCTGTAGATGGAAGACAACATACACTATTTGACTCGTTCATTTGAATTTCATCTGGTGTTAACGCAGAATTTATCTCAAATGTAATATTATCCACTAACATTATTTTAAGCATACAGCCAAAAGATTTCTCCTTGAATAATTGCAATTTCAGCAACTGGTAATGAATATCCGACAAAGTCATGTCGAAGTATAGTTTTTCTACAGTACATTTCGATATGGAATACATGATAATATTCAAAGCTTTACTGTATTGGTTTGTCTTATAGAAAAGGGAAGCTACCATCAACCATCCAGATACAGCGTCATGATAGAGATTTTTCAGCAGAGTACTAAGACTGCATTTGTACTGTCTGTATCGATATTTATTATTACGTAATGTGCTGCACAGTGGTATAACCTGAGCACGCTTATGGCACCATTTTGACATGAAGAATTGATATACGTCTTTTATTGAAGACTGATGACACGAAACTGTCTGTATTATTCTTGTATTGAATACATTCGATTCCTTAACACCTAGTGTAAAATTTCCACAAAGAAATAATTTGGATTTCAGTGTTTTTTCAACTTCCTTTACATAAAGTGTGTGCGGTTCGATGGGCAAATTCCAAATCGATACATCAAAGTTGGATATTTGATCTGAAAATAAAATACATCGCCAACCATAGCTATTCAATGCATATAGTTTCTCTAAAAGTATTTCACGAGCCCGACCCTCTATTCTGTTTTCGAACATGTTGTTCTCTGGAATGAAGTAATGCAAACACACTGAGTGCTCAACACAATAAACAAGCCTACTGAAACATTGCATAAAACAAGGTATAATATTATCAGGTGTCCATACGGATTCTTGAAGTTCTTCAGATATCCAAAAAACTATTGTTTTTAGAAAATAAGAGCAGAGTAAATCATTACAATCGGAATGAGTACCTATTACATCTTTCAAAATAATTTTTAAGAGAGCATAACATAGTAATTGAGTATGTGTAAATGAATTTATTAGAAGTTTTTCACCAACTGAAAAAGATATTCGCCATTCTAGATCTTCCTTTAGTGAATCCTTAACTCCAATCGGCACAACAATTACTCCGTGTTTTAAAATATTTTGTTTCACCTCATTACTCGGCCATGAGTTACTTGATCGTGTTACCCATTGTACTGCAGACGATATCCACTTTTTACAATGAATACAAATGGCAAGGTCAATCGTATCATCTTCGTCCGATATACATGGTCCATGAATACAAACTCCTTCAAACAAGAAATGGTGTTTAAATATTTCACTTGACAAATAGTATTCACCATTATACTCTTTACAGCAATTTAAAGCATCAAGAAATGTGCAATGTTCTAGTTTCAACTGAGTAAAACCAGGTTTTACATCGTCTGTTACCATTGAAAACAATGTTCTATTTGGAGTAACACGAGGTTTCATATCTTCACAAACTTCGAAACCGTGATCTACATGCATTATATCTATATCACTGCCTCGCAGTTCTAGTCCTTCTCCAAAACTTCCACTTGTTATAATAGTTACTTTCTTGTTACTTTCAAAATCGTCCCTGACAGCGTTCATAATTCTGATTCGTTTAACATAATCTTCTGATCCAACTATATTTTGACACAGATAACGATACAGTGCTATTGATAGGTTTGGTGTAAAAGTATCTGTTAAAAGATAATTAAAATGAAAACTGTGAGCTAAAAATATCATAGTCTTAGAACTGTTATTTGAGTAACATTTTACAACACATAGTTTGAACCTGTAAAAAATAATGCTCTTGAATAATAGTGTTTACAATATATATTCTTATATTTTTATTGACATATATACATGTACCCCTGGTAACAAACTAGAACTGAAAGTGTAAAATAAAAAGCAATAGAGAAATTTAAGTAAAAATGAAACCCGACCTTGAGTCAAGCAACACCATTGAAAATACAACTGGTCTATGTTTATGTTTATGTTTATTTTTGGCCCCTTTTTGGCTCCTTTTCCTTAACCGTTAGTACCATAACCCCCAAAATCAATCCCAACCTTTCTTTTGTGGTATTGAACCTTATGGTAAAATTTCATAGAGATCCATTCACTTAAACTAAAGTTATAGTGCGAAAACTAATGTGTCTTCGGACGACGACGACGACGACGCCGGACGACGACGACGACAACAACGACGACGACGACGCCAACGTCATACCAATATACGACCGCAAAATTTTTGCGGTCATATAAAAACTTAATACACGGTTAGATTCAGCATATTAAAGAACCCCAAGAATTCAAGAATAAAACCCCATTGAAATTGGTCAAGAAATAAGCAATTTATATGAAGTATCTTCTTTTGCACAATACTGTGCAATTGAATATTTCTTGCTATTGCGCAATACTGTTCAATTGACTATTTCTTGCTATTGCGCAATATTGTGCTATTGGATATTTCTTGCTATTGCGCAATACTGTGCAATTGAAGATTTCTTGCTATTGTGCAATACTGTGCAATTGAAAATTTCTTGCTATTGCCTGGAAACTAGAAAAATGCTTGTTTTTTGCCCCTTCTTGGCCCCTAATTCCAAAAATACTGAGGCAATTACCCCCATCATCAATCCCAGCCTTCCCTTTTTGGTATAGTACCTTGCAGTACAATTTCAGAGACATCCATACACTTGAACACAAGTTATTGTCTGGAAACTAGAAAAATGCTTATTTTTGGCCCCTTTTTGGCCCCCAATACCTAAACGTTTCGGGCAATTACCCCCAAACTCAATTCAAGTTTTTCCTTTGTGATATGGAACCTTGAAGTACAATTTCAGAAATATCCAAACACTTACACACAAGTTATTGTCCTGAAACTAGAAAAATGCTTGTTTTTTGCCCCTTCTTGGCCCCTAATTCCAAAAATACTGAGGCAATTACCCCCATCATCAATCCCAGCCTTCCCTTTGTGGTATGGTACCTTGTAGTACAATTTCAGAGAGATCCATACACTTAAACACAAGTTATTGTCTGGAAACTAGAAAAATGCTTATTTTTGGCCCCTTTTTGGCCCCAAATACCTAAACGTTTCGGACAATTACCCCCAAACTCAATTCCAGCTTTCCCTTTGTGATATGGAACCTTGTAGTACAATTTCAGAAATATCCAAACACTTACTCACAAGTTATTGTCATGAAACCAGAAAAATGCTTGTTTTTTGACCCTTTTTTGGCCCCTTATTCCTAAGATTTTGAGGCAATTACCCCAAAAAGCAATTCCAGCCTTCCCTTTGGAATATGGAACCTTGTGGTACAATGTCAGAGAGATCCATACACTAACACACAAGTTATTGTCTGGAAGTTACAAAAATGCTTATTTTTGGCCACTTTTTGGTCCCTAATTCCTTAACTGTTGGTACCACAACCCCCAAAATCAATCCCAACCTTCCTTTTGTGGTATTAAACCTTACGGTAAAATTTCATAGAGATCCATTCACTTAAACTAAAGTTATAGTGCGAAAACTAATGTGTCTTCGGACGACGACGACGACGCCTGACGACGACGACGACAACGACGACGACGACGACAACGACGACGACGACGACTACGCCAACGTCATACCAATATACGACCGCAAAATTTTTGCGGTCGTATAAAAATTGCAATACTGTTTCCAAAAAAAGATACATTTGCTCTTTTTTGTACGTTTTTATGTTAAGATATTATCGAACATTTTGAATAAATTACCTCAAATGCACCGAATTAAATTTTGATCCTAATGGTACGTGTAAAACCATCTGTTAAATGCCATTTGCAACAACAAAAAAGAGAATATTCATTATTGAAAAGCCATTGCAAAATTAACTTATTTAGATAAGAATAATTTTGAAAACATTTTGTAACTTATTTTTACTTTAATGATTGAGTTTACATTCTAGTATTTTCAAATATTTTAATTGTCCTATAGATCATTTAAGATTTGTTACATAAAGAGTGTCTTTAAACACAGGAAAAATATATTCCTTAGAAAAAGTATAAAAGCAAAACGATCTATTTTTATATAGTTCTCTGTCCTCAGACATAAAGCAGGCTTAATAAAGGACCCTAGGCGTTCGACTTTTTTTTTGGCTGATCAACATTAAAAATATATTTATTTTTGTCATTTTGTTTACATGAATAATAATTTTGTCCGTTTAAAGTCTTTTGAAATAGGTCAACCCTAAGTTTTGATGTTTTTCAAATAAAATAAAAGGAGGTTCATCATTCATTGTTTTACAGGATTAACACACTCAGTTTTCTCTAGGAATTTTTAATTCCCTTCCCTTTTCTTATTACTCATTTTTGCATAGTTTTGTTCATAAGAATTAGAGTAATTTTCCAATTTCTTAATATTGCTTCAAATGTTTGTACGGATTTAATTTATCATTATACCTTAGTATGCATTTTCTGTGTATAAAAGAATGAACTACATGTATTAGAGCAATTCAATTCCACAGTCCCTTCACAAACTATTTGCCAGTCAATAGTTTCAAATATTATTAACTGACAGTCAATACTTTTAAAGACTCGTAGTATTAATCCGGTACATTGTTTTGCAACCATATTTCCCGAACTTCAAACTTCTTTTTAATTAGACAAAAAATACGTCATTGACTCTTCGGTTTGCGTAGACTCGTGGAAGGGTAAAATGCTAAAATATGTATCAACAGTAAGTGTTTGTTGTAGTCTTTTTCTCAGTCTGTTTCCATATTAATAAATTACTTAGCAGGAGCAATGTTTGAAAGAGCAAGAAAAATCTACATAAAAATTCACAATTTTAGAACTCTACAAGCATACGATTTCATACGATACCCTGCCCCATAGCACTATTCTATGTCTATGTTCAGTAAACTATGAAATTAGCATAAAAAATAGTTGTACTTTGTCATATAATTTTAAAAGTTCACCTCATGAAAAATATATGTACTAAGTTTCAAGTTGATGCGACCAAAACTTCATGCTAAATTATTTTAACCGAAAGCTTTAAAATTCTAAGTGTACTAATTTAAGCTACTGTGGAATCATTTATTTTCGTGGGTACCAATTTTCGTGGATATTTAATTTCGTGGTTTTGCCAAAATCTGCTTACAAGCATATAAAAAGTTGTAATTCGTTGAACCTTTAAATTCGTGGTTTACTTTTACCCACGAATTCCACGAAAATTGGTATCCAACGAATAATAATGAATCCATAGTATCACATTTCTATGTTCAGTAAACTTAACATATTGTATACAAAGTTTACATTACAACGAACAATTCTCCTAAATTTCAAGTTGATATGACCACACCTTCATAATAAACCACCTTTACCAAAACCTTAATATAACACGGGACGGACTAACGGACGGACACAGAAAATAGGATGGCATAAAAATGAATTTTACAACATTATCAAGCTCCCCATTATTTTATATAGCATGCTAAATATATACTTTGAGTTTTGCTTTGTTAAAAGTTTAAGTTAATACATCTGTACTCATTACTAAACTGTAATGTATCATTTATTGAATTTTAGTGTTGTCAGTCAGTAAGAGACATACTTATCACATTTCCGTCTATAAGTACTATCTCGTGATTGCAATCGTTTTTTGTTCATGATGTTTTCGTTATCGCTTAAATCAAACAACGGTCAAAGTTCAAGTTTAAGTAGTTTCTACAATTGTTGTTAAATTGTAAAAGTTCATTGTATGAAAATAAAATATAACATTTATGTCCGCATCAGTAACACATTATTTGATGCTGAAAAAAAAAATGACAATGATTTTATCCGGTTTTATGGACTTCCCCATTTTGGATTTACATTGGAGTTCGGTATTTTGTTATTACTTTTTTTCAGTGCTATACTATGTACATTACCGTAGGACCCGCTCCAGTAGCTACAATATTTCTCTCTATCATGAAATCCTTGTAGTTTGTTAAGTAAATTGTATGTATGTACGTGTATACAATGTATCTTGTCATACCGTTTTATTTGTTAAATTAGATTCAATAATAATTATTTGTTGTTGATGACAAAACGTTGATGGTTTCTGTTTAATCTTTTCACAGCTTGCTTGACTCAGCGTTATGTAGAGCTTCTCATATTGCATAGACACCAGGCTATTATGAAGGCTGCATGTTGCACTCTAGATGTCTTCTTGTTATCGGTGTTGTTTGGTTGCTGTCTCGTAGGTATATGCCCCACACAGTTTAAACGTAATTAATTGTTATTTTGTCAACAATTATCTTATACTGTATATTGTTCCCTTGGTAATATCGGTATTATTCTGTATATTTAAGGCAGTTTTAGATTTATGAGCATGTCGCAAATTAAACGATCTGCATAATAAAGAAACATACTCGAACTTTGTACAAGATTATGCCCTACATCAAACAGCAGCTACCTTAAGAATCCATGCCCGTTTTTACATCTTATATAAAAAAATGAGAACTTCTGCATCTTTATATAATAGTTCTTTGATCGTTAATACCAAACAGGAATCAGTCTTTTATTGAAGAAAGCAACTTGTGTGTAACATATATACTTTTTCCATCAATGTGGAAATAAATTTACTGGGATATGCGATTATTTTCAAGGAAAAAAAAGCTTAACAAAACTGGTTTGGATGTTTAATGGAAGGAGGGCTTTGGTATAAACTTAAAAGAATTTATCATCAGTTGAAAGCAGAACTGTGAATTTGTGGTTAAATTTGCAACTGTAGAGGGGCTGGAGTAGGAAAGGTATTCAGTTTGGAAATAATGGTGCAAACCTTTTAAATTTAGTTATAGAATTAAATGTTCAATGAAGTGTTCTATATTTGCATGAGTAAAACAGGAGTCAACCGAGGTTCAAATCACGTTAATCGAATTTAAGAAGATACAAATAAAAAAAAAAACAATCACAAACGGATGGAATCGCATTAACTTTAAAAGGTGCGAGATAGGGTGCGTCGACAGGGTGCATGAACTATGATGTGTCTGTCCCAAACCAGGAGTTTGTATTACTATCATGTATTAATATATTACTACAAATCAAGACAACCGTTAATCATATTATATGATTATGTATGCTTGTAAGGGAGGACATGTTTGCCACTAGATTTCTCAAATCTATGCTTGTAAGGGATGGTAATTTGTGACACTAGATTTATTCAAATCTCAACTCGAACAATTACCAACATTCAATCAATATGCTATTCAAGTATACCACGGTGCGTGGTTTTTAAAAAAAAGTGATAAAGATCGGCTGTTTGGTTTGATATGGTTCATTCAGAGTTCTAGATTTTTTGTTGTCATCCACTCTACCAATACGTGTTTTCAAAAACAAGAAATATTAGACGACTGTCTGCATATATGCAACAAATATAAAAACTATATAGTAAACATTAAAAAATACTATAATTTCATTTCTTTTTAAATTTCATTTTATGTAGAGGATTGTCAACGGTGAATATCTAAATCTATAATCTTTTCGCTATCGTTTTCAATGTAAATTAACTCGTCATAGATACAAGAATTACAATTGTGTACGCCCGACGCGCGTTTCGTCTACAAAACACTTACCAGTGACGCTTCAATCAAAAAGGTTAAAAAGGCCAAATGAATTATGTATCAGCTATGTTGATGTGATTATTTTTTATTTTAATTTCCATTTTAGAATAGAAAACTAACGATTCTAAGAAGACATCATATCTAAATATTTGCAATAACATATTTTAAATTATTGTTATTTTTTACCTGCCATCTTGCTAGTCTGTTGAGGGTTAGTTGTGAAATTTGTATTTCCTGGAAAATATTTTCGTTTATATGTAAACTAAACGTACATATAACACCTACGCAATAGTTTTCTATATTTTGGCAAATTTCCACATACTTGAAATGTGATAAACATACAAACTATAAGATCACATATAAACAATGTCTGTGTTCACACAGGGGTGAATGCCTGTCATAAGGGTTATAAGTAATTGTTGCATGCATAAGGACATTATTATTGCTAATGCTATATTTTATATTGCATGACTAGCTACATAAAATGCCAAAACTGTCCATTTTCGATAAGTATATACATTAGACAAGTAATAGCTTTTCTAAAAGCTAGCCGTCTCATAGCTGATGAAATTTGAAATTGTTTTTCCATGCAGAATAGCATTGTATAGTGAATATCAAAAAATAAACGGCAAATACTAATTTTCAGATTTCCTATTTTTGTTTTGTGGGGAATCACAGGCATTTGTCTCTGATTTTTTCAATATATGTCCCTTAATATAACATTTTTTCAGAGACAAATGTCTGTGGGGGAATGTATAAACACCGAAAAAAGGGGGGATACTTACTCAATCATCTGCGTTTGTATCTGTTTATCAATAAGTTAGCCTAAGCATTGACCTTTATAAAGTTAATGTACTGGTCCCTGGTCACTATAGTCCTGATAAAGCAACTACTTAACGTTTTAAGGCTATAGGAAAAGGAGTAAGTTGGACAAGGCAATATATCGAGCTTAAAATTCAAATTTTGATTGATGGATGTTATAACAATGAAACATTTTGAAAACAATAACTAGATTAGATATCATTCTTTGACGACACAGTTAACGTCAATTTCAATTTCCAAGCAAACAAAGAAAGCAGGCCGCGAATTCCATTCGTTTTCAGAACTGGAAACAGCGCTAGCGCACACGTCGAAAAAAAACATTATGCTTCTAATACATGTTACAATAAATAAAATATCTGACTAACAAAGTTAGTTTGTCGAATACAGCGCTTTATACCATTCAAGCCTAAATTTCGTTGAAATCCATAAGATTTGGAAAGTTTCATCAAAATCCGTTTTTGATGCCTTTTCGGGTATACTTTCCAATTAACGTAATTTTCGAATCGTTCGACAACATTCGTTCTATTTCACTTTGTCGCATGATTGATTTGATCGATGCTGAGAGAAAAATAAGGCCTTTATCGTACCCTTCAAAGCTAAACATGCTGAATTAACATATTCTTTTGTGGGAGAGAGTTTATATGATGACATGTAGATGTCTTTCTGTTTTATTATCTTAATTAGTGTTTGTATGTGTAGACAAGATTTTAAATTCCTCTAGAAAACATCCATTTTCAAATAATCCAATGCCAACAGTATATCTATTTTCTTTTTCTTTTCCGTATAGCATGTTTAGTATAAATAAATCAATATTTTAAAAACATTTATAAGACGTTTGTTTCTTGTTTTCAGTTATATAATTAAATTCTTTTTTGCCACATTTTTTTTTTAACATTTATTAACAATTATTCTATATCTAGCTAGAATTGGGAGGGTTAAAAGCTAAACAAATATTGTAATGATAAGATATATTCATTGTCGAAGAATGTATAGCTTGTAAGAGGCACGCGCTGTTTGAACTTTAGAAGTAAGGAGTTTTGTGTGTCGATTAATTGGCTTGCCTGTCTGAATTATTTATGTATATTTCACATCTCCTTTAAATCATACTTAGAAATTAAAATATGTTAACATGCGCAAACAATTGCCCTTATCGTCTGAGAGTCGTTTTTTTTATCCCCTCGTCTTATGTTCTTCACATTCAGCTATCTTGTCACGGTAAGATAGCTAGGCATCGTCCAGCGCAAACCTTCCTCTAAATTATTCCCGTATTAATCAATATTAATCGAAATTAATTGATTTGGTTATATTCGTTTTTCATTTAAATTGTTACCTTCGAATTATCTTACTAAGTATCAATATGTATAACCGATGAAAAAAAGCATGCGCGGTGTTTCCCTAGGTTTTCATATACGTTTCAACTATAATGACTAAACATTCATAACAACGAGTGACTGGATAAAATGTGGAATGATCACGTGTCCGTTTTATACCTTACAAAATTGCAGGAGTTTCGACTATTTATAGAATAATGTTCCTGATTACCGATATGCATGATTGATCACGGTGCAACTTTGATAACTAAAATGAAGAGTTCAAACCCGACACTCGTCGGGATTGAAGGACATTTACTAGGTTTCAAATTGCCCCAACCAATCCACAGATTTTCACTGTGAAAGAGTCAGTAATATCTTCCAATCAGGTAGTAAGAAAGCATTCAGTCCATTGTTCAACTTATAAGACCGTCTCCGAGGAGACCGTTATTAACGATAACAATTCATGATATGTAGATATAAGAAGATGTGGTATGAGTGCCAATGAGACAACTCTCCATCACACGTATTTGATTAATTGAAAATTCATAACTGTGCATAAGTAACAAAAGGATATTTATTCCGGATTTGTAAAACCTACCAGATTTTCCATTTATTTTCGTTAGAGGGCATAGATTTTAAAACGATTACATGTTCAAAAAACAACATTTTCAAACTTATGATATTTCATGAAGCCTGGCTGGCCGTAAATAACGTTGACCACTTACTCCTGATGCTGTATAAAATATTATTTTGCATGTACATACAGTTTTGCAGTACAGTGGGAAATTTAGTGACAAAATTTTACATCCCCTGTAAACACTGAAAACCTAGATCTTCTCAATGTTTTTCCCGTTTTAGCAAGGACGCTATCAATTATGGATTCACGGGAAAACGTTCTGGTAAATAGTAAAAATAGAAATAAGTTGAAATAAAAACAAAACTTCCATTTAATGTTATCATTTCCTTCCTTAAGTAGCAAACGACGAGTACAACAGGCTATAGAAGAAGCTTGATGTAAAATTGGTTTAAATGTTGCTATGCGAATAAATTCCTGGAGTACCAACTTCAATTTATTTTTGTATTGGCTGAATACCCCTCTGGAACATGCTAATTATCCGTATACATATACAGCTAGATCAGAGAAAGTCAGGGAAAAAATTCCAAAGGAATCAATTGATATGCAGCAAAGATTGGCACTTTTGAAATTAAGTTACTAAGCAAATTCAAACGGACCTTATCTCGATGTAAACATGGAATGTGAATACATGTAGATCGAGAAGACCGCAAATACATGGACAAAAATCGAAACGACCTTTTCTTAAAATTGTATGAAAAAAATAGTAGAAAGATACCTACTTTATAAGAATAGTTATCTTTAATTTCTTAACCTGCACAGACAGACTTTTACATTTATATATTCACGAAAAGACAATATTTCTCTATTGAATGTGCATGTGACAAAAACAGACCGGTGTGTTCGATAACTTAGGTGTGAAACAATAAGTATGCTTTGGGAAATTGTAACATGCTAAGGACTTTGTGGAACACTCCGAAAATTGGTGACCCGAAAGATCTTTAGATTTTGTATGTACCTGATTTTTTCCAAATTTTTTTTATCAATTTGCAGCAAAGATTAGCATTTTGTAAATTTCAGTTTCACAAGCTTCTAATGCAAGTATCTCGATAAATACTGAACATAAAATATCGTGTATGTGCATGTATATTTCTAATAACACAGTTTAACAAATAATTTCTTTAAAATGTACAATTATTATTTAGAAATAACTTTTGATCAGTATCTTCACCGGCATTGTTTTATTATTGACTCTCTTGACTCTATCAAAAGAAGAGTGAATTTTCTTTTTCTTTTTTTTTTTGTTCACTAGATTTCCCACTGAGTAAATGTATTTATTTTTGGCATATTTTTTCAAACATTTTCGTGAAGCGATATTCATTCATTTATCATTTGCAACCGTAAGAATTTGCAATGGAAGATAACACTTTTATTTAGAATGTCCTTGTACTGGCCTGTTAATTGAGTACTTGTTATACCTCAGAATAGATTGTTTATCATAAAAGTGAAGGAATTGAAGTTAAAAATAGCTAATTTTATTTGTCAGCACCAATATGAGGTGCCAATATTTTCCCTGTTTCTTGATTATTTGTACCGGTATTAAAATTTTTGTTCTTTTGGTACCTCAGGATGGATAACAAAAGAAAAAAAGCCAATATTTTTTTTCTTTTTAATTATATTCATGAACTTGCCTGATAATTGAGTACGTTATAACCTCAAGCTTGATTGTTTGGCATGAAAGGAAAGGAATTAAAGTTTAAAATTGGAAAATTTGTTATTGACACCAATATAGCATGCACAAGTATTCCCCATTTCAAACTAAAGCATGTAAAAGACAAATTGAAAGAATTGATCCTACTTTGTTTCATAAAAAGAGAATGACCAACATAGATACAAGCATCTTGTCGCAAGGAGGGAAAGATCGTACTTTGTAAAAAATCATTCTGATTCAAACACAAAATTCTCTATAATTGACGTCATTATGAAGCTCGATTTCTTGATTGACAACATACTTGTTACTTTTGCAGGTCGTTTTTTTTCAACAAACAATCTGCATTCCCATAGGAACCAACTGTGCTCCTCTTTTTGCCGGCTTGTTCCTTTATTCATATTAGGCTGACTTCGTACAGGACTTATCAGGAAGAATGAAAGAAGCTAGCATTATCTACTAACTTCACGTTCCGCTATATAGATGATTTCCTCTCACTAAATGATTCAAAGTTTGGTGACTATGTTGAACGCATCTATCCAATCGCACTCGAAATAAAGGATACAACAATTAAGTCTGCTTATATCTTGACTTACATTGAGAACAAAACTTTACGACAAAAGAGATGATTCCATCTTCCCAACTATGAACTTTCCATTTCTATGTAGCAACATACCAGCAGCACCTGTATATGGAGTATATATCTCGTAATAAATACGATAATCCAGAGCTTGCATTTCATGATTTCCTTGATGAAGGGTTGCTGCTTACAAAAAAGTTATTAAACCAAGACTTCCAAGTGGTGAA